ATTTTTATATAGAGGTAATTCTATATATCACCTAATATTAAGAGGAAGATTTTAATAATCACATTACTAAATTTTGAACCCTGAAATTCTGGTAATACCAATGTTCACTTTGTCTGGTTTTGTTGCCCCATATTATGAATGTTATTTATGCTTTCCGCCTATCATAGATTTCTATATTGGATCAAGTCCAGTATTTGATTTCTCGAATATTCCTGATTTAATGTGTCTGGTGATTACGCACGGTTTTTATCATAATAAATAATGATTTATTATTGTATGTATAACAAGATAATCTTCTATAATGACGTAAATGTTGTGCTTGTGAAAAAAACAATACATGTGTCGTCGTCGTATAACAAGATTTGTTAACATAATTCTCACAAATTCAAATTTTCTCTGTTATATGTCATCCATTAATAATGTGTTATTATAAATAAAACAACAGCAGTTATTATTGTTACATTACACATTAAGCGAGAATGGAATTGGTCAAACCTTTCAATAATTGATCTAATTAAAAAATAAAATTTGATATCTAACATTTTTTTTTCCCATAAATTGTCTGACAAAATAATTAAAATTTTTCCCGAGTTGCATATGTTTACTAACAATAAAAAGTAAATAAAATAAATAGTAGTTTATTATACAGTTTATAAACTAAAAATATTATAAAACCGACGAGATTTCGCTCTCTCAAAAAAAATTTATAATTTTTTTTAATTGTTCTACAATATTATTATTATAATAATAAATCAATAAATATTTATTTAAAAAAATTTAAGGTAATTTTCACTTATTTTTTTGATTAAAAGGCACCAATTCAAATTATTATTATTGAGTGTCAATAATGACTTTAAAAAAATGATTTTTCTTCCTGATGATTTTAATAACTCTATTTCTAATAAAAAAAATTAACAAAAAAAAAAAAAAAAAAATTTGAAAAAATTATTATTATACTTAAAGCTGCAGTAAGCAGCATGGTATATTATATAACATTATATAATTTACAATATATTTTATTAATCTTTTAATTTTTTATCATCTTTTTATTTTTATTATTTTATTTTAGATTTTTCTTTTGCCAAAAAGTAAAAAAAAGTAAAGCCAACGACATTTTAAAAACAACAACAACATCAATTAACGACATGTAATTATTCTCAAATAAATTTATTAATCAACTTAATGCAAAAATTAATCATTGATTATTTTATTTCTCTCTTCATCCTTCGTATTCTTTATATACAGGAGTCCAAGTGTTCATAATAAGCAATTAGTTGAAGTCACTACAAAACAAAACTTTGTTAAAATTCCATCAAAATCTCTATCAACTACTACTACTAAAACCACCAATAAAAATTCAACAACAACAATAGTTGTCGATTCAATTAAAAATTCGGTTATCAAAGATATTAAACAAGATGAACAAGAAATAGTCGAAGTTCCAATCTCGGAACCATTTAACTCATTTTTAAATCTTAACACTCACGACACCATCACACCTTTAAATATCAACATGTACACTTGTCCAAACTGTCATACTCCAAATTCAGTCAATGCTGTTAAAGATGATAATTATTCAGCTAATGGTGATTTTTATACTTGTTTATCTCATGGAAATTATGGTTGTGGATGGGAAGGTGAACATCTACCAAATGAAGAAAATATAGCAAAGCATGTATTTTCAATTATTGGATTTAAACCATTAATAATTAATTAATATGATTTTTGCTTATCCGTTTATAAGAATTAATTTAAATTTTTTTTTTTTTTGAATAAATGCTGTAATAAACATTAATTAATAAATGTATAAAATATTATTTATTAATAAATCACCTGTTATATATATTTATAACTCAAATTAAATTTATTGATATTAATATCGATAAATATGTAAAGATGACATTTTTTATTACATTCCAAAATGCTCTTTTATCTGACATTACTGAAACTTTTATTTTATGACTTTTTTGCATTATTGTGTTTCATTTTGAACCAACATAAATTTTGGCGGAAAGAGTAATTATCGAGGTGTGATGTTCAACCGGAAATCCCTCGGGTAGGAAAACATAGTGGAAACGACCGTATCCAAGTAAAAGTAGTAGTAGAAATCTAATAAATGGTTATGATATATTATGTAGAGAAAAAATAGCATTGAAGAACTTGAAAAGAGGTTGTGAAGTTATTCTATATTAAACGCGGCAAATAGAAATTTGGGAAATGAGAAAGCAGGCAAGGAAAACAAACAGTCTCGAAATTATAATTGATCGTCACGTACGCCCAGGTTTTGATCATCATTAAGTGTCACAATTCGTCCAAGAATGTATATTAATATACATAATAAAAAGCGGAGGATACTAACCAAATTTGGTAATCGAGCATC